GAGCACTTTGCAAAATATGCAAGAAAATTGTTCTTGCTCAACATGGAAACGACAAACTTGTTTGGCCGCTTTGGGCTAACACACCATGGAGTAAACTAAAGAAATGATAAAGTGTTGAAAAGTTACATTTCTATGTCAAATTTCCAGGTAAAACTACTTTTCTGTTTACACTTGACTTATTGTGTGCCGCTGGATATAATGCTGTCTTAGGACTACTGTACTGTAATTTCCATGCTGGCACTCTTTGAATTAGGAATTTTTGCCTCATAACTTTTGCACTGTCCACTTCCTGCTGTGACAAAACAAATTTCCCACGTGTGGGACTAATAAAGGTTATCTTATCTTATCTTAGGAAGTGTGTCATGGATTTACATGCACTTATAAATGCTGCTGCTTGCAAGCTGCAAGCATTAATAAAATTTTCAGCATTTTCCTTCCATGTGGTCAAAAATACGATTATTACAATTTAATGTTGAACCCATATGACCCACCTCTGACAGTCGACCTGAAAATGTGTTGATGGTAATGCCACCACTTTATCCTGCTGTTGTTTTTACACACATGGTACATCCTGAATTTAAATGTTTGTATCGCAATCACAATCCAAATTGTGCTTTTCCAGCTTGGACCCACATGAAGAGCAAAAAAGAAATAAAACACTGAAAAATCATTATCCCAAAATGTTTTTGCATGTGGAGGCTGTGTCGTCTTACCCATACCCAGAACTATATCAATAATAGTTCACGTATCAATAATCCAACACATACTGTTACCATCTCATTCAAAATATATACTTACAGGTTTCTCTCCTATATATGTTTTGTATCATGAAGTGTAGCAGTCACACTGACAGCCTGGCTATCTGTTGAAGTTGTGATTCAGTAGCTTCTGCTCTTATTTATAAAACTTCTGATGAAATAAATTAAAAATGGCTGTGATGCAACTGCCTCTTTCCATCTGCAGTCACAGCTCTCGATCAATGTCTGACCCACACACTCTGTGAAAGGTTGCAGGTCACGAGTCTGCAGTGAAAGTAAAGGTGGGAATCCTTTTTTCGACAGTTATGTTGAAGAGGAGGCCGAATAGCTGGGAGTGGTGGAAGACGATGCATTTGGCTCTACGGCTTGTGGTCGCCTCCTCAACCACTGAGGTAAAGCAGCACCCATTACTGCAATTTTAAACACTTTGCAATATGTTTAATATTAACAAATAGATACAATGTTATCTTTTTGTCCCCAACATCTTTTTAAATTAATAAAACTTCTAAGTCTGTTACCATTTTATTTTTATTGGTGCAAAATGGGCTCATATGAGTCACACAGTTTGTTTTGGGTAGTCTGTGTCGGGGTTGTGGTGACGGACGACGATGTCAGGGATGGAGACAGCTGGGCGATCACGGCAATTTTGATCCCATTTCCCCAGTGATGCACTGAAAAAATGCGTCATTATGCTGAGATTCATTATTAATTAAATGTGCAAAGCCATAGCTTGATGTTTTACTCCACATACAACAAACACCTGTAACAGCGACACACGCGGACACACACGGGCGCGCACAGAGGCTCGCGGCTGGACTACATTTGTGCGTCACGCGGCTACACCGATCGCTCACAGTCATCATCAGATGAGAGGAAACAGAAAGAGGATATTTCTCACTTTAGGATGGATGTTAAAAATAAAAACAGAGCATAATGTCACCACATTTGGGAAAAGGCTCTTTTATCACGTCTCCCACCTGGTGCTTCAGTCGATGACGAGCGAAGGGGAAGGTGTGCACAGGAGAGACGGGTGAGGTGCTTTACAAAGAAGAAAATTAACTCGTCAAAATAGAACAACTTCAGATCCAAGTACAAACTGAAAGGACTGGTAAATGTTTTTACATTTTTACTTAGTGCTACTGCACATCATCATCATCATCATCATCATCTGGGTCCACAGCGACTACAATGTAACCACAGACAGCAGTGTAATCATAAATAGGCTATTTTTTGCAATTAGTTCATAATATTACTACAGCAGGTATCAATAAAAAAGCAGCCTGACTTTGAATGTCGCGCTATTGTTGTTATTTAAATAACTGAAACTAAGTTTTGAGCTCTTCTAAATTTTGGCCCAAAGATTTTTAACTGTAAATGTTTCCAAATATTGACTTTTAGTGTCCCCAATTACTGATAATCAGCAACATCAGTGTTGTTGTCTAAAAAATAAAATAAAACATACTGGTCAACTCTCACAGCACGCTCACATCATTCACATTATTCCAGCTTGAGGACAAGCTGCAGGACATGAAGATAAAGTGGCAGCTGTGCAAGGCATTATGGGTAACGCCGGTGAGGGACAGAATGTCTCGGGTATAAAGGTGACACACAGCCACCACGAGCTAGCAGGGGGACTGCAAAGGAGAGAGGAAAGTAGAGCGAGAGACAGACGGGGAGCAGACAGACAGCTCATTGGAGGAGGTGTGATATGGGCTGCCCGATAATGACACCGTTGCCAAACACAACTGACAAGACACATGGAGAGTGGAAGAGGGAACGGGAAGACGGGATAAAGATAGGGTGGGGGGCAGTGGGGGACAAGCAGCAGAGAAGAGAGGGCCGACGTGACAGCCCAGCAGTGCCGACGGCTGCCACAGAAAGGCCAGCGGCAGCAGAGAGGTGATGTCTCACATGGAGAGAGACTGAGAGGCACGCAGACGCCGGGAAAGAGAAACTCGGGGCACAGACGTACGAGGAAGGCTAAAGTTGAAAGCTCGTCACTCTGCTCTGGCATGCTATCCTGCAGTGAACAGCTTTTTAGACAGCAGAGGTTTTCAAAAATAGACTCCAGAGTTAATAATCAGTGGGTGCACGTCTCTTTGTTGTGGATGTGGAGACTTAACAGTAACACCAGAAAAATCAAAGGCAAAAAAGGAAGACAGAGAAAATGACCTGCGACGCGGACACCAGTGAAAAAGTAGAAGAAGAGCAGTTCACAATTATAAAACCAAAACTCTTCATTTTGTTAACATAATATAAAAATGAAAAGTGCATATATTAAAATAACTAAGTTATCAGCTAAGCTCTCCAGATGTTTAATCCAAGACTCCATGAATACACTTTCTTTCTCACCACTGTCCAGATGTTGGCTGTGATGCAGAGCTTTGTCATCAGTAATGTCAGTTTAATCTCAAAACAGGATAAACAGGAAGAAATACGGTCTCGAGAGATCTCGACCAAAATACTATCAGACTGTGCTGAGGACAACGTCATTTTCACACGAAAACAGTGTTTACAAAATATGTGGAATTAGCTCGGCTGTAGTCCAAAACAGACAGAGACGGATATACGATAAGACAGCCAGGAACACAAGAAGAGACAGACACGGCAACTAGCAGCCCTGCGGTGAGGGGGGGGGAAGCGACTCCCACTCTCACCAGTCACCAGCCCCCTTGAGAAAGCACCATGCAATATTCATCCTCAGCCAGTCAGCCAGCGAGCCAGGCAGGCAGTCAAACCGGCAGGATTCACCCCAAAGGTGCTTCTTCTTCTCCTTCCACACCACCTTGTCTCAGCGCTTACAGACAGATCTGTGTCTGTCAAACTCTGCAGTGACGATCAAACTCCGGGGGGATGGTGGTGGAGGGTGGGGGGGTCCCCACTAACCCTCCCACTCACTCAAGAGCAAATGCACCATTAAAAATGCACATCTTACCAGCTCATCTCGTTTAACTAATGCATATGCATCATACCTCCGGGACCAAGAGAAATTATATTGCAAGTGATACAGAATATCCTTCATCACATATACAATTCAGATTTCTCCAGGAAGAGGCTGGTAGGGTTTTTTTCTCCCTTTGCTGCCGAGTAGACTGAACCTTAGGAAAACTGTGAAACGGATACAGGACTTGTTGAAAGACACCCATCTGGATGCTGGTTAGACAGTCATCTGCATAATCTGACTCCATCTTCCGCTGAATGTGGAATCGGTTCAAACATGTTCTGTGAGACTGAAAAAATGATGCAATATGGAAAGTTCACCGTGCTCCCGAGTACCTAAGCGAAAGAGGTGAGCCTAGAATTAACACTGATGTAAACTGCTGGAAATAGATGGAACAACACAGAGCGAGAGAGAAAGAGATCATTAAGACTGAACAACAACACGTAACGAACTGCTGGGAGATCAGCTGTATGTGTGCGTGGGGGGACGGTTGCCTAAGTCAAATTAATTATTAGCGCTTTTATCTGACTTTCTTCTGTGTGCAACCCAATTATCCTTAATTTTGCAATTACAAATCTCAGAATAATCAAGCCCCTTGGCAGTTCCAGTGTTAATGTTGCCGTGCCCTTGCATACGCATTGAAAAAATAAACAGATAAAAAAATGAAACAAAAACAACAACGAGTACGGAGCCTATTTTTAGTGCTTCTTTCTCAAAAAGATTCCACGTTTACTCAGGGGCATATGGATGATCTTCTTTGTTTAAAGTCTATTCAATACTTATGGAGGCAAAAACATCCTTCTGTAGAGAAATCAATGCGCCTGAAGTTGGAAGACGATATTAAAATCCAACAGCGGCCTGATCTGCACAGAGCAAACTTGAGTTGTATCGAACCGAAAGAGGCTTGCGAGGAGGCCGGGCTCCGGCAGCCTCCAGATCTCTGATCAATAGTAACAACTCAACATTCATCCACTGTCTGTCTTACACAGGCTACAGAGGTCTGAATGAAGATCAGGCTGAAAGATACATCTTGATTGATGCAGAGAGAAGAGATGAGCAGGAAATATTTACAGTTTAAAACAAGAATTAGGAGGAATACAACAGATGAAGGAATTTCCCATCATTCTTCAATCTATAATCAAACTAAACGGCATTGAACACATCTGTTAAATAAAGGCTAAGACAGGTGCTGACCACAGGATGCCGAGGCTGAGTAATTCCATTTTTATCTTAGTCTGCATCCTACTTCAGATCCTAAGTCCCTCTGACTGGTGTTGCAGTGTGCATCTGTGTGGGGTTACCTGGGGTTGAAACACTGGCACAGCTGCTTGCTGTCCTTGTGGCTGCGTGTCCATATCCATGGTGTTAGGAGCTTGATCCCGTACACCTCTGCGAATCACACAAACAAAACGGGACTCACGGTTAGACGATGCAACGCTGATCATCAGGTGAAACAAAAGTCGATCATTTCCCTTCAACAGTACGATTAAATTGTATTCAAATGTGGAGCAATGTTCGTTCTGAAGCATCAAACTAAGGAGTGACGGTTGCCCCGGTGTTGAGTTTCAGCAGCTGAAACCTAGGTCACGTCTTTGGATATGATACTCTTTGTCTGGGTCCCTCTCGAGTTGCGCCGTGGCCGAGCTTCGGCAGAGATAAAGCTGCTTGGCATTCTCCCAAGGAACCTTTCCTGGGAATTGCAGGTTACACCAGTTACTGGTTTAAGCAATTCCACTTTATTTTTTCTTTTCCGAGAAAATATAAGTCACCTCAGGGTGAAGGGGTGCAGTATGTATATATGCCATGTTTTTCTTTAATTGCACGTCCTGGCATGTGGCTTAGAAGGAAGCTACTTGCCTGAGCAGCACAACAAGTTGCTTGCCTCATCGTCACAGACAACGCAATAATAGAAAAAAATCACCTGAATGAATAATTTACAGCTTTAAAAATTACGATGCACAATTATATTCACACTTGAAATTAGCTTATGATTCCAGTCTACACTCACCGTTTCAAAATTAACACAGAATTACTTGTGATTTACACAAGATACCCGCCTGTTTAACACAAACCGTGTGCCATCCACGAGGCAACACATGAGGTGAGATATTTGTATGTTTTCAGCATCACAAAAACGTAGCCAAAGACAAGCGTGCACACACACGTGCACACACACGTGCACACACACGTGCACACACACGTGCACACATGCAGACTGCTCGTTGATAGGAAGCAAATGACTAATGATTAGGAACAGAGGATAAAAGAAATACCAGGAATTACAACTCAACCATGGTTTTGTCTTCTTAGGGACTTATTCACAGGAATAGCACTCAAGCAGACACACATACACACACACACACACACACACACACACACACACACACACACACACACACACACACGTAAAAAGAAAAGTTCCACACAGGAGGGAAAGAAAGCACACTTCACAGTGGGCCATTTGCATGTTTTTCCTCTAAAGCCGGTTTGCAGATCTGTTGGTGTGTCACTCGTGTATTGGTCACAGTCTCTTGTCTCTGTTGCATTGAGCCTCCCTGGGCCAATTAAAATGTGCCGGTGTAATGTAGATGAGAATAACACTGAAAAGCAGTCTCTGTGTGTATATCAATCAATCATCTGATCAATCGAGCAATTATATAGCTATCTAACCATATAACTGATTAATAGGTTGACACACAGATTCTTTGGGCAGTTTAATATTTTTATGATGTGTGTCTATGCACTTTGAGCAAACACATCATTTGCAATTATTGCTGTGCTAAAATCACAGATTAGCTTTTTCTTGATGTTCGTGTAAATTTGGAAGATCGCAAAATTATTTACTCAACCCCGTTTCCAATGGATTTACATCGGCTATGCTGGCAATACGACTCTCTTCACTTATGTAATGGATCATTTATTAATAAGGTTGACATTTTTAAATGCAGAACAGCGTTAAACGCTAAATGATCCTGACTCATTAATAAACCTGCTGGAGAAAAAGTATTTTTGAAAACAACCAGCTGTGGTGGTTTTTATAAACACCTGGAAAGGTTGTTTGACTGTTTGACCATCAACATTTCAAGCCACAAACGTGCAGCACCAATAAGTTAAACAGACAGACGCACTCAAGGTCGTTTGAAAAGTCAAAAGGAGGTGAAAATCACCCTGGAGGTCCTAACAGAGCGTTAACAAAGCAGAGAAAAGGCTACATTTACTCAGATACCCATGAACATCTGGACAGAGCCTCAGGCCGCACCAGTACATCAGCCCTACATCATATGTTGCTCTTTTTGATTGGTATCAGAATATTGACCCAGAACAAATACCAATATCAATATCCAACAAACATTTGCTGTGCCATATTAATTTTGCACAAGCGAAATGTTCGTAGTGTGAAGAGTTCCTGAAAGGCCGTTGATCTGTGCATCTATCACCCACACTTTAAAATCAGTATCAGTACATCATCACTCAAGAGCTTTTATCTATTACAGGATATTTTAATACCAGGTGAAGTCGGCCTCTTAGTTTGAACGAGCTGCGTGTCGTGACATTTGGATTTCGCGGTCACAGTGGACTTTCGAGTCACCCGCCCAGCTGGCCTTCGCGGCTGTTGCCGTGATTCTTTGCACTTCAGCCCCGCGCTGTGTTAGATTGAGGCTGGCACCCTTCCTTCGCTCCCTAACCATCTTGTGTTTCTAACCGCCTGAGTGTCAAAATAACCGCAGGGCATCAGAGGACGTTCTTTCGCCTCCTACATCCCACGTTAACAAGATCAATTAAGACTGCCACGTTAGATTAACACACACAAGGAAACAACACAATTAACAAATCTAACTCGATCAGGAGGCGTAAACAGGGGAAAATACGCAAACCGTAGCAGTGACTGCGCAAAAACACAACCGGCTTCATCCCGCTGACCTTAAATCCCTTTCATCGCACATTCCTCTTAACTGTTCCTCTCGCTGTCTCGATATCCCCGAAAGGTTGCTCGCCACAGACAGGAATTCCTGACTTTCAAAACACATGGAAGCTCAATGTGCCACTCTTGCTTGCATTTCTGTCATGCGGGTGAGAAATGGTGGCTGCCTTTCTGGTAACAGCTAAAAGCTAAATCCTCTACCTATTCATAGATGTCAGAGTCACATTTGGACCTTTGGTGAGAGACAGCTGCAAATACACAACAGGACAGACAAGCAGAGCCATTTTATGCTAAATATGTAGACACACATACGACTGGCGTTTGCCTGGAATGAGAGTTTTACTTTTATTATCGTTTCCTTATTTTTCACAGATCTTCCTTTTACACTGATATTCTGTCAGGCTGACTTTATTACAATTATTTCTGCACAAACATTTTCACCACTATAGATCGTCTATGAAATGTAAATGGACACAAACATGTTGTTTCTGAGACGCCGTGAGTCCATCCGAAAGACCGACGGTGTTTTCAGAGGAAACTGAAAACACCGTCTCCGTGCAGACCACCAACCACTCAATGAAAACAAACACTGTTTTCTGACTGCGTTCCATCTAATGTGAGACTCCAGCCCAGCATTCTCGCAGTGGGCCCATCACACCGAGGTAATTATATGAAAGAGGAGAAAAACCGAGCGAGGCGGACTGAACAGTTTTATTTGTTCTCACACTTCCAGCACACAACAGAATTGTTAATTTGCCTTTTTTTTTTTATTCCCATCTCAAATCTTGTTTTTGTTTTTTGCATTTTTAGCCCTGTTTCCTGCTTTTACACTGCTGTGAAACAGTCTTGAGCCACGCCTCGTTTCCTTATATTTAGCTTCTTTCATTCCTACGTTTGTCTTGAGCAATAGATTTCTAAATATCTTTCAAAGTTTTCCTCCGTCCTCTGGCTGGTTTTTAACAAATTTTCACTCATTAGCGAGGTTTCAGTGGAAAGGCGGCTGTCATGAAGCCATTCTTAAGGAAAGGAAACAAGAAGAAAGGGCAAAGCGTTGCTAAATTACAGAAGAACTGGACTGAAAATCAGGATTTCAGCCAGTGGTGTTGGGATCTTGTCAAAAATTTATGGAATTATCAACGCAGAAAGTACCAGATGGGATTATATGGTGGAAATTTTGATCCACCATGCAATGCCATCTGGCAGGTGTTTAATTGGGAAGGCTTCAGCATGACAATGATCCCAAACACGTTGGCAGTGCAGTAACACACACCTGTACAGGACAAAGAAAGAAGAAGCAAATAAACAAGCAGACAAACAGGAACACTATCACTCATGGATTGACCTGGTGGCATCAACACAGCTCCAAGAAGAAGGGCGTTCATTTCAGGAGAAAAACAATGAATCCACTCAGTTTTTTTAAAGCTTTGGACTCTTTGTGTAAACGAACATGGCAGAATTTTGGAGCTTGAAGAATGGTCAGTATGGAAGCTCAGAGGGGGCAGAGATCTGCCCCAGCCTACTTTTAACCCGTCTACAAACTAGGGCTGCCACAAACGATTATTCTGATAGTCGACTAGTCACCGATTATTTTTGCAATTAGTCGACTAATCAGATCATCATCCATTGGACGTAAAACGTACAGCTTATTGCACCAGCAGCATCTGCTCTTATATAACTATCATTAGCTTACAGCTTTAAGTGT